AGGTTTTATGGCCTCAGATCACAAATCTTTCCACTGTAACATGTTACCTTCCTTGAGAATCCTTTGAGCTGTAACATTGTCTGATGACAATGACAGAAGGGACCATTTCCCCCAACTCAACACGGGGCTAAACAAGCCCCTCTTGCTCCCCACGTTAGGAACAGAGCAAGGCATAAGCCCCAGTGAGATAAATTATTGTGTTCATCTTCACATACGGAGGTGGCAGGCTGGGTAGAATGGGCTAGTGCCAAGACAGATGGAAGGGATGGTGTGGGCTCTGAAGGTTTTAGGTTAGGAGTGTTTGATTTAGCAGCTAATTGGCAGTCACTGAAGGTAGGAGGGGAATAGAAACTGGAAAATGATTTTAGTTTTGGAAAGGATGGTTTAGTGTACAGGAACTAGAGGTACTTGGTGCCCAGCTGTTGTATGAGGTCCTAAACAAGGTCATGACTCAAGGGAGAAAGAATGGGTTAAAGCCAAGTGAACAGCAGAGAAAGCTGGCCTTGGGAATTGACAGTGTGCAGGTTAACTTCCCAAATCATTGCAGGACTGGAGAGTGGAAAACTTAGCTCATTCCTAACATCTGTCCTTAGCTTCTGTAGAGTTCCATTCTTTACACAGACCAGCTGCCAAATGAAGGGTCCTGGGGAAAAGGGTTGGATTAGATGACCTGCAAAGTACCTTAGAGTTTTAACCCTATGACCAATTAACATATGAATCTAGGATGGAGGGACCATGGGGGAAACCTAGCCAACTTCTATATCCTAAAAGAAGGCCACAGAACTACTTGCCATTCTAGTCTTAATATTTTGTCTCTTGTGGCTGGCCAAGCACATGGCAAGGTTAAAGGAAGGCCTCAGGAGAAGGGAAGCAAGGAAGCAGTGTTGATATCTCAAGTTTAGGATTATTTCCAAGTGTGAGGAAGGATCTGGTTTTTAAAAAGGCACAGCATCACAGAATGTTAATGCTAAAAGGGACCTTGGAGGTCATTTAGTACAATCTACCTACAGATAAGGAAAGTGAGGGTAGGAGAAAAATGACTTGCCCAAGGTCACCTAGCAAGTGACCATCAAGTCACCCTGAGCCAGATTCCTCTGGGAACGACATACGGAATAGGGATGGATATGTTTTCCTTTGCTTTGGGCCTGCAGCTGCTTCTTAAAAGCCTTGGACATAGGGGTCAGGGCAGGAGGTATTGAAAGTTGAGCCTGTTTGAGAAAGAGAAAACCCAAATAATCAGGATGTGAAGAACCATTCATCTTCATCACGTTTTATTTTTGAGGTGAAAAGGACTCACAAAAAGATTCACTAAGACCTAAGGAAAAAAAAAAACAGGAGTCAGTAGAAGCACCACTGTGGGATGTGTGTCCAAAAGGGTAGAGTGACTGTAGGGTGCAAAGCTGACTAGCTTACCACTGGAGGGAGAGAGGATCTAAGGAATCGGGCAAGAATTGTCTGAACAGCCCAGCTCTTTGGGAGGAGCAGTGGAGTGGAGTGGGACAATCCCTGGTCTCTGAATCAAGGGAACCTAGGGTCTAGTTCCTGCTGTCACTAACTTTCCATGTGACCTAGGACAGGTCACTTCACCTCATCAGGCAACAGTGCCCTCTCCTGTGAAATGAGGGGGTCTAGCCAAATGATTCCTAAAGCTCCTTACAATTCCTAATACTTAATTCTTGGCAGACCTCAAAGAGCGAGCTATAAAACCTTTTTATGTAATGATCCTACCTTCCACCTCCCCCAGAAAATTCACAGGATTAGATTCTCGCTCAGATTCCTTTCAACTCTAACAGATCATGAATTTACTTTGCAGACACCATTTTCAAACAACTATTAGAAAATCTTTTAGCTCTGGTCTTCTCAGCAATGTCATCAATTTTATGGGATAGGAGGGAAGCAAGCAGAGGAAAGGCCAGTGAAGCCTGGTTCACCTTATGCCTATAGCTCACTTCCCCAATGACAACCCCAAACAGCATCACAAAACCCCAGAATTGACGGGACCTCAGAGGTCATCTGTGAACATCTCCAGTAACAACGCACTACCTCACAAGGCAGGCTGTTCTACCATTGGACAGCTCTGATTGTAAGCAATTGTTCTTCCTTAGGAGGACCTAAAATTTGCTTCTTATTTCTATCAACTGATCTTTCTTTTACTTCTGAGAGCAAGAGAGAAGTGTTTACACTTCTGAGGACTCCTATTCCCCACGTGCCCTCCTTTCTCCAGGCTGTCCTTGGTTTCTTTCATTTCTTTTCTTGGTTTCCTGGGCCTTTTCTATGGTGGATGTCCTCCAGGTAGTCAATGTGTTACTTCCAAAACTGAATATAACATTCTAGTAGGAGCATTACCTCCTTTGTTCTGGCTACCATCCTTCTACTATTAACATGCATCCTAAGATACTTAACTTTGTGGATATCGATCATACCATTGGCTCAAACCGAGTGAGCGGACAGCTCAAAATGCCCAGATTTTTCAAAACATGAACTGCTAAAAATGGGTCTCCAGCTTTTATTTGTACAATTTAGCTTTAGAACTTTAATGTGATGTTACATTTTTATCTCCATTTATTTTTATCTATCTTGGCTCAGCATCCCAGACTGTCAAGATCACTAAGAATTTTAATTCAATCATTGCCTGCATTAGCTATCCCTTTTTCTGATTTCATCCAAGTCATTATGAAATTGCGCAATGAGACAGAGCCAAGGACAGAGTCCTGTAATATGCCTCTGGAGAAAGCTCCCTCCAGGTTGTCAACAATCTGTTAAGATTCTATAGGTATGATTTCCTTAGCCTGGTAATGTTCCTGTCAGAAGATTCAGCCTACCTTTCTCCATCTTGCCCACAAGAACATCATGGGAGACTTTGCCAAATGCCCCGCAGAAATCTATGTATATCATGTCTTAGAGCGAGCCCTGATCTATCAGTCTAGTAACCTATCAATCACAAAGGAAATGAGATTAGCTGTGCATGACTTGTACTCAATGAACTCATGCTGGCTTCTAGTGATCTTAGCTTCCCTTTCTAAAAGCTCACATTAGGATAATGTGTTTTAGAACTTTCCTGGAAATTGACGTCAAGCCTGTGGTCTGCTGTGTTCATCAGAGTGCACTTTCCCCCTCATTTTGAAAATCTAGCTGTCTGGCATCTCACTCATTCTCCATGATTTCTCAAAGGTTACAGACTGGTTTGCTGATCATATTTGCCAGTTCTTCCTGCAACTTGGGATGTAACTGCTTTAGGCCTAAAAACACGAACAATAAGTACAATAAGTGTTCTCTTACTGTCTCACTTAGTATGTGCTTCAATTCCCTCCCAACCATGGTGGTGAACTATTATTTGTTCTATGGTTCTCATCTTGAAGATTAGTCTCCTTGGAAGAGAAGACAGAAGATTGTACAGGGAGAGGATTAATCAAGGTAGGGTCACAACTATTCAACAGGGCATTTCCAAGCTTTTTTTCAAAAAGCTAAAAGGAAATGAACCTACACAAAGAGCCTGTATTCTACCTCTACTCCCCACCCCCTTGACAATGATAAATGGGCAAAATACATACAAGTGCACACCCATACGCATACACACAGCAGCGGAACAACAGAAATATCTCATTCCTAAGAACCCCACCCCCATCCCAAACAATGTCCTTTGTAGATGTCCACTCAAGTCAGAGAGCTATAATCTGGAAAGTACCTTTGGTATCATTTAGTACACTCCTATCTTACCGATGAGGAAACTGAGGTTCTGGATGGTTAACTGACCCATCCAGGCTCATACAGCTAGTTAGTAGAAGAGCCAGAAGTAAAACTCGAGACTTCTAATTCCCAGATCAGTGTTCTTTCCCCTAAATCATTCTTCCCATTTGTTGAAGATGATAAAGTGAAACTAAATGCTCCATCTGATGCTTTGCATCAAAGAAATGGTCCCCATTCCTCTTTCCTTAATATTCTGAGCTCTGTATATTGGTCACCCCTAACTTCGTGATCCTTTCAGTTAATTCCTCCAGTTTGAGGTGTACTTACTACCTTTAGCTGTAGCTGAAACAGAAGCAACAATAACCAGATGGGCACATCTGCAGAACACATCCTGGGGGAGACTTGGTGTCAGGGTTTCACAGTTGGGGAGCAGAGAAGAGGGTGTTGGTGTTTGAGTGAGTAGAAAGGATGGATCATCAAGAGAAGCAGCACAGACAGGAGGCAGATGGAGGGAAGACAAGAAGGTGAGAAGCAGAGCCAGAGATGGGTGAGTGGCATCCTATAAGAACTTCATTTGAAAGCAAAAAAAAAGGGGGGGGGGAAGGGGGATCATTTTGTGAGGACAAGAGTCAAGAGGCATAATTGCTGCACATCCAGAACATGGCATACCTGGTTTCATCTCAAGGGTCTGGGGCTTGGTCCTCACTACTCATACAGTGGCTGATTCCTTGTTTAAAAGAGATCAGCACATGTAAAAGAAGTGAGGGGAAAGAAAGGAAGGTAATGAGAAAGTGAGAGTGAATTCAAGCTAGAGGAGGAGGCAGGGAAATGTTAGAAGAGGAGGAGGAAATATAAACACACAGAGACACAGAGTCCAAGAGAGAGAAAACAGAGGACTATGTAAACACATTCCAGGTACAACACATCAGAACTGAAGTCACGGAGATCTGCAAATAGCCCACACTTGTGTCTCCATTCACTTCATTTTCTGGTTTTCCCTGAGCATTATAATGTTGTTCCCTTCAAACATCTGACAATTTCCCAAGCCTGGAAAAATCTATGTCCAAATGAAGTCTTCCAGTCTCATTCACTTCTTCTATTCCCCTGCCCCTCCCCCTTCAAAAGCTGGAGGGGACAGACTACCCCCACCAACCCTGGCCTTCAAACAGTCTCTACCTACATAAATATTGCATAGGAGTATTGCTGGCATTGCCTCATGAGGAGGAAATGCAAGCTCAGAGCTCAATATGGCAAGAAGCCCATCCTTGAACAATCCCCACCTTTCCCACCCCCCACCCAAAAAAATCCCCAAGTCCCCAAACAAGTGGTTCAACTTTATTTTAAAATTGTACAAAATGGCCACGGGTGGCTATAAAAAACTTTGTCTTCAGAAGGTGTGAAAACTCAGGAACAACAGAGCCAGCATCGTTCACAGTGTAGTGGAAAAGCTTCTTTTGAGGCAGAAATCACAATTCATCTTTCTTCTTTCCAAGTCGCTCATGGTCTCGCTCTCGGAGAGTTCGAACGAAAGAGACAAACCCTGACTCCTGAAAGAAAGGACGGTAGAGAGCAAAGGGGGTGAGGGGCAGGAAGGGAAAGGGGTCTTTTCATTATCTGATAAAGGCCACAGAAGTCTCCTTCTCACTTTGCTGACAGCCTCTTCCCTCACCCCACTGGGTCAGCAGACAGAGCTGAAGAAGGTGGCTTCAGTCATAACCTATTGGTCCAGATGAGAGCCCAACAAAGTTAGTTGGCTGCAATTTTGAGCTATTCCTTCCTCAGCTTTGCCCTTTGGAGTTGGTAACAGTTCAGTCCTGAACTCTGAAACCCAATTAGTCACCAGGAAAAGAGTATCTCTTATAGTATACCCTTGCGATATTTTCTGTTCCATGTGTGAAGAACATGTGTTTTACCCTGCATAACCAGGACATGGGGAAGGAATTTTTTTTTCCAGTATTAGAGGTGAGTTTCTCCCATGAAATAAGGGATGGACTCTGTGGCTGTATGAGAGAGTAAAGCTAACTAGCTCACACAAGGACTGACCGAGACTTTAACCAAACACAAATTATTGCTTGATAGGCATCCACCCTCCTTCCCCCATGAGGGGGCTGAAGGAACAATAGCTTTGTCAGGCATCACCACACTGTTCTTTCATTTTGCTGGCATTATCCTTTTGCCTTTTTTTTTTTTTTTTGGCAATTGGGGTTAAATCACTTGCCCAAGGTCACACAGCTAGTAATTGTCAAGTGTTTGGTCTGAGGCAGGATTTGAACTCAGGTCCTCCTGACTTCAGGACCGGTGCTCTATCCATTGTATCACCTAGCTGCCCCTCATCCTTTTGCTTTCAAAGGGCCCCCTCTCCACTCACATTTCCCACCTGCCAGGGTATCTGAGAGTTGTCAATAATGGAAGCTATTCCCCTGACTAATTCAACTGGACAAAGATGTATTAAGTACCTCCTAGGTGCCAGGCTCTGTGCTCAGGCCCTGCCCTCCGGGAGTTTCCAATGAGAAGTAGTGGCAGAGCATGGGGAAAAGGAGAAATAGACCTGGGATTTGAGTCCTGTCCCTGACATTTACAAGCTGCATGACTATGAGCAAATTACTCAACTTTTCTGAGCCCCAGTTTCTTCATCTGTAAAAGGGTCATCCTGCATGGAGTGCCTATGTCATAGGGCTGTTTGGAGGTTCTGATAACATGACAACGTACGTGCCAGGAACAACTGTGGGTATTACAAAAGGTCACAGAGGAGGCAGTGGCTAACCTGAGACTTCTTGGAACATCAGGGTGATGGGAGCTGAGATCAGCAGGGAACACGTTCCAAACATGGCTGAGACTGTGTGGAGGCAGCAGATGGACTCTAGAGGTTGAGGAATAAGTAACTGTCTAGTTTGGCTGGGACAAAGAGTGTGTGAAGGGAAGTAACCAATGTAAAATAGGACTAAATATCAGGCTAATGGCTAATTTTTATCTCTGAAACAACAGGGAAACACTGAAGGTTTTCCAACAGGGAGGTGTGACATGGTTGGAACTGTGCCTGTGGATGATGACTGGCAGTTGTGAGGAAGAGACACTGGATTAGTGCATGGATGAAAGCAGGGGGACCAGTCAGCAGGCATAGCAATATCCAGGTGTAAGTCATGAGGGCCTTGGGGGGGGGCGCGCTTATGATCCCATAAGTTGGGAAAAGGGGATGAACAAGACACCTGTGGAAGGAAATTTAGAGGAGGGGCAGGTCTTAGGGGAAATGTTATTAGTTCCCTTTTCAACACACTGGGTTTCAGATGCTGATGCGACATCAGCTTAGAGGTGTTCAGGAGAAAGATGGCAACAAAGGACAGGAGTCCAAGAGAACTGGATATGCAGATATGGGAGTCATAAGCAAAGAGATAAACTGGACCCCCATAAACAGATGCAATCACCAACAGCATGTGTAAAGATGTGTAGGAACAAGGTGTATCAGCAAAGGGAACTAAAAATGAGTGGCCATACAGGTAGAAAGAGAATCATGAGAGAGCAGTGTTACAAAGGCTAAGAGAAGGAGGGGTGGTATCTGGAGGAAAAGGGCATATTTATAGGCAGTGGAGAAAGAGCCCATAGATAAAGGCTGAAAATGAGGGAGGAAGAAAGAGAATTATTGATGGGGCAAGCAGCCAGGAGAGACTGGAGGAGGCAGGATCAAGGGCACAAGTTGTTGGGTTAGTCTTGATAAAGAAAAGAATCACTTCTTTTGCAAGGACCACAGCAAAGGAGGAGAGGATAGGTAAAAATTTAGAAGGGTTTTGATATGTGGAGTAGGGAAGAGGAAGGAGTTCCTGAGATACAGACTCAATTTTCTAACCAGAGAGGGAAATATTGGAGTTCAAAATGCTGAAGGCAGCACAGTCATGGATGATGTTGAGATCTAAGCCATAGCTCTTCCTCGAGGGTAGCTAAAGTGAAATAAATATAGCTCATGGGAGTTGATGAGGCAGATGAACTGGGAGAACAAAAGTTTTTGAGGGGGGTATATCAAACATATTTTTGAAGTCCTTAATTATGAGGACAGAAATAGAAGTAGTTAGGAAAGCGACAAGCTGGGATTGAACTTCTGTAGAAAGGACAGAGAGGTCCTTGGTGGCTGGTAGATTATAGCCACAAGGATCTAGCAGAATGATGGCAGTATAGACAACTACTGCCTCACAAAGAAAGGAGGAAGGTTATAGAATTACGGTTACAGTGATAGTCTGGAAACGATGTTGAAGAGCCAGCAGTGGGCAGGTTACTCCTCCTTGTGGCCCAGTGTGTTAGGGGGCATAAGAGAAGGAACAACTGGTACTGGAGACAGTGACCAAGGAAGTAGGATCTCTTGGAGAGAAGGGTTCCAGGTGACAAAAGTTCCATGAATCTAGCATTGTTTTCCCCAAAAAGGAGACAACAGGAAGAAGAAAAGGAAGAATAAAGTTAAGTAAAACTTCTTCAGCCACCTGGACACCAGGAGAGAGTCTGATGGGTGTGTCCTGAAACCTAGGCTTTTAAGATATTGCCGACTCCCAAGAACTACTGCCCTTAGCACCGCCATATACAGAGTTCTGTCTCGGGGAAGATCCACAGATTCCAGGAGTGAATGATCACATCTTTTTTCAGATTCTGAGGTGACCTTTGCCTTCCAAGGCCACCAACATGGCAGGCAGGTGTTAGATCTCAGAAGGGGAGATGTTCTTATTAACATTTTTTTCTGCAACCCTCAAATTGAAACTCCAAGGGGTGTAATAGTTCACCATTTAATTTTTCAAAAATTATATTAAAGTTGGAATTCAATCAATAAATATTTATTGAGTGGCTAATATGCACTAATATGTACCTAATATGTACTAGCCAGTGAGGATATAAATGCACAGAACGGCACAGTCCACACTCAAAAGGAACTTACATTCTAATGGGGGAGACTACAAGTACACATGTAAAGATATATAAGCATAAACACAAAATGAATAAATACAGATATACTGTTGAATACAAGGTCATTTGGAAGGGAATACACTAGAAATTGGAAGAGAGAGAAGGATAGTTTCTGGAAAGGCTTACTGTAGAACATAGTACTGCAGCCATGTCCTAAAGGAAAAGAATCAGTAAAGAATCACTCCATGAGGTGAAGGCAAAGACAGGGTACAGCCCAGGCATTTGGAAGGGACAGTACGAAGGGATAGAGATGGAAGATGGAGTATCATGTGTGGGAAATAAGAGAGAGAAGTCAGTTTGGCTGAATCATAGAGTGTGAGAAGGGGAATAATATTCAATGAGGCTAGAAAGAGAAATTCTTCCTTACTTAAGGATGGAAAATTAATATCTATTAATCTATCTATAGTTATATCTATATCACCTAGAAATACAAATGTGTAAAATGTTTTAATCCCATGCTGGGATTAATGAATACTTTGTTGTAACCAACTTAGCTAGCAATCCACAGAAAGACTGTATGAATGGAGTAGTCAGGTACCTGAATCTGAGAGAAGATATTATTTTCAGGCAGCCTTGTGAAGTACAATCTGTTTTCTTAATAATGGAACTCTCTCAGGTAATCTGGGATATATAGTTGCCATACCTATGCCTTCCTCCACCCTCTCCAACAAATCTGACAAAATCCAGCACCCATTATGGTCACTCCCTGAATTAGGACAGGGACAATATAATGAGGCTGATAGCTTTCCTCAACACGAAACCATGGAATTGGGCTGAGTATGGAGTTAAGGAGGAGAAGGAGGAAAGGAAGAGAGATCAAGGAATGGAGTAGGCAGTGCTGGACTGAATAGTCCTGGGTCTGAAACCCAGAAAGAGCAAAAAGAGAGGAAGGGAGCAAGAACTGAGACTCAGAAATGGCACCAAGGGAAGAACTTAGTCAAGGCCATGTGGGAGTTTCCACATACTCACCGTCCGATCTCCATTATATTTTTCAATTATCTTCCCATAGTTGTAGTAGTTGAAGGTGGGGTAGCCATCAACCCCTTCTTGCTTACACAGATCCCGGTTCTTATCTTTGGCACAGTCAACTGCAGCACAGGCAATCTACCAGGAAAAGGAAACACTATGAGAGAAAAGGGCACCTCTGCACTCGTGGTCTGTAAGACAACATTTGTGGCTCACTTTATGGTGCTCTTGACATCACCATCAGTGGGGCACCCGCTCTAAGTCAGGCATTCTTAGCCTGGTGCCTGGGAATATCTTTTTAAGAACCATATCTTTGATAACCGTATTTTAATGTAATTGGTCTCCTTTGTAATCCTATGTATTTTATTCATTTAAAAACATTATTCTGAGAAAGGGTCTCTAAGCTTCATCAGCCTCCCAGAGGTTAAGAACCCCTGGGCCAAGCTGGTTTTTAATAGCAGCGGGCAGTGGGTTACTTTTTGCTTGGCTCTGAAAAGTCACACATTTGGAGCCAGCTAGTCAGGATTAAGATGTTTAGGCAGAGCAAAAGGAACAACAGTAGTAATAATCATGTAGAACAGAGTAGAATCGCAGCTTGATTCCGAGTCTACAGTTTCCAGAGAACCTAATTTTGACATGTGGAAATTTAGATTCCTCTATTGACAAGCACACCTCCAAGAGCAGAGGGAAAGAGATCAATTCTCTCTGAGCTTAGCCCACTATAGTTTGCCATAAAAGTAGTAATCATTTTTATAAGCAGTGAGGCCTGTAGAGGAACACAGGACCAAGGATTCAGAATAGTTAGATGGGTCTAAAAGGAAAGCAGGTAGTGGGCTCAGAATAACGAAGTCATCTCCATGAATTTTCCTCCTATCCTTCCTCTGTGCCTCCACTTAGAATTTTCCATAAGGTTCTGTGTCTGAGGGATCAGGAAAACACCCGAGTGTTCTAAATGTGTCTGAAAAGATCAGCTAGAGACATGGAGATTTATAAATTTATAAATACTTTGTTGTAACCAACTTAGCTAGCAATCCACAGAAAGACTGTATGAATGGAGTAGTTGAAGGCTTAGAGACATGGAGAGTTCAGGTTACAGTGTAGTTGGGAGGGGGACAGACAATATGGAGGATGAGTAGAGTTACATACAGTACATATGTCTCAAGGGGCTGGCATACATTTCTAAAGCTCAAGGGTTTTGAAAGATTTTTGTGAGGCTGCCATAGGCTCAGAGAGTCATTCGGCAAGGTAGGAACCTGAGGGAGGTCATCATATCTTCTCTTTCTTCCTCTGAAGACGGTAAACCCTACCCTAGTTCAGATGGGAGTCTGCCATATTCCAAAAGCTCTCTTAAGTGAAGGGATTTCACAGCTTCCCAAGTTCCTTTATTTGTCCACTTGCCCTTTATTCTTGCCCTGCAGGGCCCCCCTTTTTTTTCAGGGTCTCCTACAAGTTGAGAAGTTTCCCCTTATATTATCCGTATAGAATCAGACAGTAAAAATCACTGACTCCACCCAAGGAAGAAAAAAAAAATCTGTCCAAAGGTCACATACAAATAAAAAGCAACTTTAATGAGGTAGATTTTTTTTGGGGGGGGAGCAGCCTAGGCAATGGGGTTAAGCGACTCGCCCAGGGTCACACAGCTAGTAAGTGTCAAGTATCTGAGGCCACATTTGAACTCAGGTCCTCCTGACTCCAGGGCCGGTGCTCTATCCATTGCGCCACCTAGCTGCTCCTATGAGGGGAAATATAAAAGGTTTCGCTTAACTTACTTGCTTTTAAAATTAAGAACAGGTAGCATGTGACATTATTAAAAAGAACTAAAATTATTTTTACAGTTACACATTATAGTCGATTAAAGAGAAAATTGGGAAAAGAAGGTGCAGAAAGAAGGAAAAGGAAAGAGAGGAAGGAAGACAGTGAGTTGTGAGCAGAACATTCATTTACTTTGTAGGGCTTTAGACATTCAGATTAATTGCTAACTAAGGTTCAGGGTTCTTGAATTGCTCTTTATTTATAAATCTGCCAAGGCTTCCCTTTCTGATGGGAAAATAACCATTCCAATCCTATCAAACAATGTTTCCTGAAGGCTTACTAAGTGTCCAGGACCAGGAAGAAACATTATTTTCTGGGTGGTAGCAGCTGTGGCCAAAGCACTGTCAGTTCAGAGGCTACCAGATAAGAGATGAATTATAGACCTCAGGCCAGAAGTTATTGCCCCATTATTGGGACATCTAGGTGGCGCAGTGGGTAGAGCACCAGACCTGGAGTCAGGAAGACCTGAGTTCAAATATGGCCTCAGATATTTACTAACTGTGTGACCTTGGCCAAGTCACTTCACCAGTGTTATCCTCAGTTTCCTCATTTGTAAAATGGGGATAAAAATAGCATCTTCCTTCGAAGGTTGTTGTGAAAATCAAATGAGATGATAATTGTACAGTGCTTTGTATAGTGCCTGACATATAAGTGTTATATAAATGTTAGCTATTATTAGTTATCATTCTGTTCTCCAATTAATATAGAGTTGTAATTCCTGAGACAATTTGAGTTCTAAAGCATTTCTGAATTATGCAAATAAGTGAGGAAAATGGTAGTCTGTGAACCTCATATAAAACAATGTAGCTATCCTCGTGGTGCTGATTCTCAGAAGAGGGCCTTGCAGCTTTACTGTGATCACCTAACTAAGAGAAGGCTGAAGCATGGTCCTCCATAGGAGCCTGGGGACATTGGGCCAATGAGGTTGTTCCTTTAGCACAGCTTTCAAGTATCTGACAAGTGTTTTTAGACCCAATGGCTCCTGGTTGTTCTTCTTTATATTCATATTTAAATTATGAATTTAATTTGTACTCCTGTTTGAAGTATGAGGCACAATTTTATAAATCGACTAAATTAAAAAAATCTATTCTGAATTTCAAAACAAGGTGGTAGTCCCATAATCAAGTACAGCTTGTGGCTGCAAATGCTAGCCCACATCCCCCACTTCTAAGAGAGACAAGCTGTCAGCCTCCTCAAATTTCAACAGCTCATAAAATTTTACTTCATTCAGGAAACCTCCTTAGACGCTCTGGAAATAAGGCAGCAAACTCATCTTCTCTTCTCTCCACCAAACAAACACAAAATTCTCATGATGCCTCCTCCTAATCTGCACTTACTCACCCACAGCACAGGATGAACAGATTTTAACTTCTTTCTTCATGTTTGACCTGTCTAGATAGTACACCTGCCTGTTCTTTATGTCTCTGTCCACACGATGAGTGCTGATCATAGAATCAGAGGCTGCTAGCATTGGAAAGGCTGACAGAGATCATTTAGTCTAGCCTTTGCTCTGAATTCCTTTAAGAGCACAGGGAGGAAGGCAGAGGCAATGGCATCCCCACTCCACTGCAACCCACTGCTAGCACTATGTACAGAGTGACCTTCCCCTCAAACCTTTGTCTTTTTCATTGCCCCCTCCAGAAAGCTATCCACTCTAAGGGTCTTAAATTCCTTCTACTCTCGTATCTATCATCAGCTGAGGCCACTGAATAAGCCAAGTTAACTCTCAGGGGTGGGAGTACCCCCGCTAAAATATGTACTGCCACATGCAGCTTTATTGATTCAGTAAAATAAATCTCTGCAGGAGCTAATATTGACTTTGGCTATGAAAATGGAAGTGAATAACCAGCTGCATATTGATTGGGGGAAGGAGTGGGGACAGGCTTCTGGAGACAAAATAAAATTCTGGCTGAAAGAGGTAGAGAAAAGCACACCGAACCAGAACTCTGGAAACCTGGGTGTTGTCCCAGCTGGGCCACTATCACTACGACCTCAGTCAAATCCCAGTCTCTTTGGGCTTGTTATTACACTCCAAAAGGAGAGGGGGTGAATTAGCTGGTCTTTAGGGTCCCTTCTAGCATTAAGGTTCTATTAATATAGGAAATCCACTTCAGGAGTGAACTGATGAAGGGCCTGCTACCTTATATATCACAAATAAAAAAACAAACATCCCTTGATTGTCTACCAGCTATTCCTCACTCTAAGCCAGAAGGGTAGATGATGTAGGTAGAGCACCTGTGGGAGAAGACAGTGATCCTCACTTTTCTCAGGAACCCTGTCTCACCTTATGTTGACAGCATGGGCCTTTGGTTATCTTCTTCTAGCTGTGTTAAGTCCATGGCCTTAAGCCGACTCTGTTCCCTTTCCCCTAGACTGGTTAGCACTCTTTCTGGCATCTGTTCTACATCAACGTTACCTGATCCAAAGAGAAGGAACACAGTAAAATCCACATTTCTTCCCATTACCTTCAAGTTTGGGGCAGCTAGGTGGCACAGTGGATATAGCGCCAGGCCTGGAGTGAGGAAGACCTGAGTTCAAATCCAGCCTCAGACACTTACTAGCTGTGTGACCCTGTTTGCCTCAGTTTCCTCATCTGTAAACTGAGCTAGAGAAGGAAATGGCAAACCATTCTAGTATCTTTGCCAAGAAAACTTCAAATGAGGTCATGAAGAGTCATGTACAACTGAAACGACTGAACAACACCTTCAAGATTATAGTTTATGACAAAATCAAGATGTATTTATTGTTCCATTTCTGTCTCCTCAAACTCTGCTTTCCCTGGCTGAATTGTTCTTTCGCTTCCTCTGGTGATTTGTAGGACATGAAATGTACAAGAGAACTATAATTTCATGTAGGACTGGCCCACCCCCCAACCCCCTGTTATCTGATAGACTGGAAGAGGCATAGTCCAGATGAGTCACCCTGGGAACCCAGCTCCATGTTCCAATAAAAATCCAAGGCTTACACTACAAATAACTTATTAGTCTGGGCCTCAAAGGAGGTTGAAAAGACCCATGCTGAGAGATGACATACTATTTGGTAATGCTAACATCTCTGTCCCATCTCAGTCTAGAACCAAATTGCAACTGAAAGACCCTGACTCCCCTGTCCTTATAATTAATAGCTGTGGCCCCAGGGCTGTCTACATCTAGCAGGAAACATAAAATAAGACAGATAAGACAAAAAACTGCCCCACAACAGTTTTCTAATTTTACTTGCTAAGGCTACTCCTACTGATTCTCTGATCTCTTGGACTTCAGACCCTACTGCTCACCTGACCCTACAACATCTGGCAGCTCTTCCTTTAGTTAACTTCCCTGGAATTGGCGTCTGTTAGGTTGCTCCCATGTAAACCAATTCCTGGCCATCCTTGCCTGATTTCTGTCCCAGACAACAGGCTGACAGGTTTCATGTAGAATTAGCAAGTACAAAGAGGGTATGTGCCTGTCCCTGGCACTCTCATGTTCACAATGATCTTAGAAGGCATTTTCCTATTGAAATAATTTTTATACATGGTGTTTACATTTCCAAGTTAACTCACAAATGACTACACTATAACAATGCAAAACTGTAGCAACTGTTTACAAAATTTAAGAAATGTTTTTCACCATAAATGTGTAGACAATTTCAGCTACATGAAGTGTTAAATTAGCTTTTGTGGATTATCTGGGGAAGCTATCTATATTCTAGAACATTATTTCTACAGAAAAATGTGTTCTAAGCTCCAAGCAAACAACTTAAAAATGAACGTTTTTTTTTTTAACAAATGAACTTTTGAAATACAACCCATTTTCAAGATGGGAATGTGGCCTGGTAAATGGTTTGCAAATTTCTGCCATGAATGTGGTGTTTTTTTCCTTTGGTCACTGAGACTTTTGGCTGATAATGTACCATATCAGTACAGAAAAGCCATGTGACAAACTAGAGTGATAGTAATAATGTGTTTGTTTCATCAACATGGAAATATACAGGGGAAATGGCTTATTTTTGTTTTCATTGTGTGTATGCATATGTATTTGTTTTACTCAGTATATACAATTGCCTGAACTCAGGACCACTTGTGCAGTATGGGGTGCCCACAGAGGAATTTAGCTATTTTGGGGAGTAGCTTCTTCAGAGGCATGCCACGTTTCACCATGCCACCAATTTCTGATTTCTTCACATACACAGAAATCAGAGCTGAGTCAGGCATATGCTACTGTGCACAGCCTCCCTCTCCTTCCTCTCAATATATTCTAATCTGCAGTTTTAACTTGTTAATTTTATGCTTCATTAGGCTGTGGCTGCAGATGCCTCTGGCTTAAATATGATGTGGCTTCATTGATCATAGCCCTTTTCCCTTTCTCTCCTAGTTCCTCTCTCACTGTCTTTGGATTGTAAACCTGGCCCTTCCCAAGACAACCCTAAAGTGAAGCAGCTAGTGATAAAAATGCCAGGAGTGCCAAGGAAGCCAGCCCCCTCTACAAAGCTGTGCCAGGCACGGGGCAGGCTCCTACAGAAGAGAACAAGCATAGGTATTAGTGGGACAGCAGCGTTCAAGGGTGTAGAAAAAACAAACAGGGCCATACTACCTTGCGGTCATCTTTGAAGAGTTCGGCAGTGGCAGTGAAGTTCGGGATTGTATTTTTACAGTGTGGACACCCTGCACAAAAGGAGAGGAAGAGAGATGACAGAGTCAGTGGAAAGCCAAGTGAGATGGGAAGTAGCTGGTATAGACCCTCCCTAATGTAAGACCAATCTGGGTAGTAGAGGCTGTAAACCAGGTGAGCTTCTTGAACCCCCAATGGCCTAGGAAAGATGTGCCTTAACTTAGGGTGCAGACCAAGACACACATTTTTGGATATGTCTAATGTGGAAATCAGCTTTGCTGGCCTGCATATCTGTTACAAGCATTTTATTTTTCTTTTTAATGGGAGTAGGGAAGAGAAAATAGATGTTTGTTAACTGAAAAAAAAAGTTAAATTTAAAAGAAAGAAAGTTATGCCTTTCTTAGGACTGTCTCTCAGTTCTGTGAGCCTCTGGTGGCTCCAACCTTGAGAAGTCACTGCATCCCTCTGTTTATGAGGATTAACTCAGCATTTGTGTGAATTCCTTTCCCAGCATCCCAAAGCACACATGAAGAGGACAGGGCCGCTCTTGCCTGGGGGCCTTTTATCTCTGTCCAGACCTCTGACAACCAGAGGCAGCAAGTTAGGAGGAGATCTGCCCTAAAAGGATTCTTGCTTTATCTTCCTCTTCTTGGCAAAAGTCAAGGTCTTCATAGCTGCAGGCTGCTACCAGGCACGGCTATTTTCACCAGGAAGGACATATGCATTCAAGATATTGCAAATCCTCCTTTTTTTGCAAATGGGCTGGCAAGGCAACAGGCCATTCTCTCCATCCACAAATGACTAGTGAGGCCCAGCTGGGAATGGGAACATCAGCTTTCAAGCACTGCTCCTTCTGTTTATGTTTATTATCCCTTCAATTATCAGTGATGGTGCAGAAATCCATCCTCCTTTCCAACCACAGCTTTATGATAAAACAGTCCTAGAAAGATATTCACCAAACATATCTAGCCAACCTCTCAGGTGATGGGGTTTGGTTCTGATAGTGCCTGGGGAATAGGGCAAATCAATTTGTTCTGTAAAGTTTGGATTCAGTCAAAGGGCCACACTGAAGGAGCTAGAGGGCACACGTAGCCTCAACGTTGCAGGTTCCCCACCCTTGGTAGGCAGACTGTTCACCAGCCTTTGGAAGAACATGATTTCAAATGTTCTAGGTGCTCTCTCTCACTACCCTTTCCCCTATGGTTGTCCTAGCAGGAACTCTATTTCTTCCTATGAGGCTGGCAGACAAGAAGAGGGATGTATGGAAGGCAACCAGAGCAATTCAGAATACTGGCATCTAAATCCAACTGATTGTCTAGCATCTAAAGGCACTTCTCCTTTTCCAGAAAGGAATCTTATAATTTTATTTTTATTTGGTGTCTTTCACAGCTGGGAGAGCTAAATCCGAACAAGCATCCTTCCCCCATTGCCCTAAGTAACCATCTTTACCTTCAGACTATAAAATTTCTCATGGGGAGTGGGAATGACTAGCTTCTGTGCCATTTCATTCACCCCTGCCCATCTAAGTCTTCCTGTTTCATGATAGGCATTTGATAAAAACAAGCTGATGAGGCCCTCACAGGGAAATGTTAGACTTCTTCAGTGTCCAGACAGACTTAACAGAAATCTACCTTTGTTAGCTTTAACTGATGAAAACAAGCTATTTCTTTCAACTAGTTTCCTTGATTCTGTTAAAGAGAGCTGAGAAATGATTTCCCTGACAATGAGAACACATCTTAATAAAAATCTGCAAATGGGAAAGGCCACTTGCAATGCACCCATGTTTGGAACTAGTTTCAGGTTTCTCTTTCCTAGGAATAAGAGCCAAATTAATTCTCTGTAGCTCCAGAATAAGGAATGAAAACAGCACTCTGAGTAGTTTTAGGGGATTCCTCTTTCATTTTCCTAATTTGCAGGAGGGAAAAAAATCATATTTTAAAGTATTTTATACCAAATTAAAAATCTAATACAACTTTAAAACTGAATTCTGCGCTTAAGCCAAGCTGGGAAAAGGAGAGATGCCTCATTTCCACAGGCTGGTAGAGATCATATCTTGCCTAGAAGCAGTAAGATGGAAGGGGTAACCTCTTAAGGTCTAGGGATTTTATATTTTCCCCAAATGTCTGAAGTAGAAGAGAGGAGGATGCTGCATCTGTATGTGGGACTTTTATTTATTGGGGGAGAATAATGTTTAAAATGTTGGTTTTTACAGTAGAACAATAATTACAGTAAAACATCAATAATCTGACTTGAGAGAAAGAATGGGCTGGATCAGTGAAAATCTAGAATTAAAGAGCATTTAAAAAAAAGATTTAATGACAAAAACCACCTTTATATAGTTCTTTAAGTTTTGCAAAGTGCTTTTTTTTTTTCTTTTCAACAACAACGCAATGAAATAGGGAGTGAAAATACTTTTATAGCACTTGTTGGTGGGTGCCTCCTCTAGTTCACTACAGCCAGAAAGCCCCAAGCATGATTCACTTTATTGCCTAGCTATCTTTTTTGCAGCCACTTTACATTTGCTCTTAGCCCTGCTCCCCACTCTGTCTTCTAGTTCTAGGCCATAATCAAATGAACATTTCCATTACTACTGGAAAGGATGTATTAATCTATTTCCCTATGGCTATATTTACCATCACTGTAACTTTCCAAACTACAATTCCCCCCCAGCTCAATCTGCCATCACTCACCTATATGTATAGTCAGTCTCCCCTTATTATGATAGAATGTACTTGAGGGCAAGAACTGTCTTAGCTTTTATATTTATGTCCCCAGCATTTGGCACATAGTAAGTGATTGACAGATATTTTTTCATTTATTCATTTTACAGAAGAGAGACTGAGGCCCAGAAAGGGAAAGTGATTTGTCCATGGCCACACATCTAGCAAATTGGGACTAGGGTTTGAACTCAGGTTGTCTGACTCCAAGCTAAATTCTTTTTCTATATATCTACATAGATATATATTTCTATATTTCCCATATCATTCTATCTTATAGTATGGCTTCAAGAACGTAAAATAGTATGAAGAGTTAACAAAACATTGCCAAAGAGATATCCTTATGGGCCTCCTCCAGTTAGCAGATAAAATCTGTATTTGGCACACAATTCTATGCTAATAAGTAGGGCTTGAAAAAAATTGTTCCTTTAAGTAGGAGAGCATTCCTCTTATAATTTTGCTTATATTCTTAACTGCTTATTAAAATCTTTACTCACAGAGATTTCAAAGATAAATTTCAACTCAGACCATGAGGCCCTGGTCAATAACTTTTTTTGTCTCTTTCTTCCCTTTGATATTATACAGAAATAGAAAGAAAGGAAGGAAGAAAGAAAAAGAGTGAGGAAGGAAGGAACAAAGGAATTAGAAGGGAGGGGAGAGTGAGAAAGGAAAGAGAGAAAGAGTGAGAAAGAAAAAAGAAAGAAAAGAAATTAATAGAAGTTGGGGGAGGAGGAAGGACAGAGAGAGAGAATAAATGAGTACAATGCAAAATCCAATGCTGAACCATTGAATGACTGGAAAGTTTCAACTTTTGGTTGTGGGGGATCAAAATAAAGCAATGAGAGAGATGGCAGGCTTGGGAAGGGGGCATAGTCCTTGGGTACAAGCTGGATTGTGACATCATCTGCCCTAAACAGATTGAACTTCAGGCTAATTTTTGCTGGGACATTAGAAGTCTTCCCAGCCAGAAACACTTTCCTAAGATTTCTTCTGGCACTGCTACTGCTCCTTTCTTATGCATTTGCCTTACTCTTCTTTTGTATCATCATTATTTTGTGTATTTTTTTCCTCTCCTTACATTAGTTTAAGCTCCTTATGGCTCCTTTGATAGTTAGTTACATTACACAAGGTGGGTGCTTGATAAATTCTCTTTGAATTGGAATTTGTTGATGGTTTTTTTTGAGAAGAAAAGTCTGGTTTGTATTTTTTAAAAGATTGCTTTTTGATAGTGAATAGTGATATCAGATAAAAGCCTAACAATTTAGGGCCTGTACCTTATTTGGATCCCGGGAGACCCCTGCTCTCTTAATACAGCAACCATGATAGCTTGTCTAAAATGCGTGCTCTCTGAAATATGCCAATAAGCCAGAGGTCACAAGCTACCCTTTTATAGTGAGAAAGATTGGAATATATTCTTAAAAGAAATAAAGAATGGCTTGAAAATCTACAGAGATTTTCAGTACTCATGGCCAGGCTTCACCAATACAATATAAAAGATAATGTTATCTAAATTAACGTATAGATTTAGTACTATACCAACCGAACTATCAGAGGAATATTTTATAAAGGTAGATAAAAATAGTAACAAAATTCACTTGGAGGAATAAAAAACAATCCAGAACCTTAAGGGAAATAATGGAAAAAAGTAGGAATAAAAAGGGAATAGAATGTTTATACCTCAAATTATACTATATACATATATATATGGGTTTTTTTGGGGGGCTAGGCTATGGGGTTAAGTGACTTGCCCAAGGTCACACAGCTAGTGAGTGTTAAGTGTCTGAGGCCAGATCTGAACTTAGGTCCTCCTGAATCCAGGGCCGGTGCTCTATCCATGTCATCACCTAGCTGTCCCCTATAAAGTATTAATGACAAAAACTATTTGATAGTGGTTAATAAGATAGAAAAGTAAATCAGTGGAACAGACTACGTAAGGATGAATTAGGCTCTACTGAACTCAGTACTGGAGAAACCCAAGAACATAAATCACTTAGGGAAGAACACTGGACAAGAACTGCTAAGAAAACTGGAAAGCAGTGCGGCAGAAATTAGGTTTAGAACATCCTACATCATATGCCACAATACTTTTAAAATGCCTAGAATTTTTAAAAAATGAGAAGAAAACCAGATCAAGTCCCTTTAATAGGGATGGCTAGGGAAACAATCCTTTTTTTTTTTTTTAAATTGATATCTTCTGCCTTTATATCACCTAAATTTCTGCCTGTCCCCCCCCCCATCTCTCTGAGAGAGCCATCCAATGCAATAAAAAATTTTTTTAAAGAAAAAAAAATTGGAAGAAAAAAAATCAGCAAAACTGATCAATAGATTGAAAAAAAAAATCAGAAAATATATACTATATTCCACATCTGTGAACTTCTCACCTCTGCAAAAGAGAGAGGGGAGGTGCCTTCTTGTATCTCTTCTTTGGGGCCATGGTTCTTTATTTTAATTTTGCAAAATTCAGTTTTAATTGTTTAGTGTTTGTTGTTCTTTACATCTACACTGTTGGAGTCAATGTGTATATTGTTTTCTTGGTTCTACTTGCTTCATTCTAAATTCGTTCCTGTAAATTGTTCCATGGTTTTCTGTATTCATCATATTGTAATTTCTTATAGCATAGTACTATTCCATTACATGTTAACACATTTAACCACTTTCCAATAATGGGCATCTACTTCGTTTCCAGTTCTTTGCTACAACAAAAAGTCTTCCTAGAAATATTTTGTGTATATGTGGATTTTCTTTCTATCAAACATATACTTTGGGGCATACACCTAGTTGTAGAATCTCTGGGCCAAAGGGTACAGATATTTTATGCACTTTATTTGCATAATTCCATACTGCTTACCGAAATGGGAGCACTAGTATACAGTTCCAAGTACTCTAACATTGACTAAATCCATCTTTTTCATCTTTACCAATTTGCTGGGCATAAGATGAAACTTCAGGGTTGTTATGATTTGCATTTCTCTTGTTATTAGTGATCTGGAGTATTCTTTTATAGTGTTAATAATTTATGGTTCTTTTGAGAATTGTTAGTTCACATCCTTTTACCACGTATCCACTAGGGAATAACCTTCAATTTTTTTTTAATCTGTCTCTATATCTATCCATCCTGTGCATTTTAAAAACAAACAGGAGAAAACAGAAAGGGCACAAACAAAGAGCAATGTTGTTACTACTTTGTTAAAAGAAAGAGAAAAAAGAATTCTTCTCCTGCCCATAGTTGTGAACAGTATATAAATTACTTCTCTTATGATTTTTTTACGGTATGATTAAGGGGAGAATTCTTAATGAAAACTGGAGACAAAGGTGATCACAAAAGGCAAAATAAATAATTTAGATTACATGAAATTGAATAGTTTTTGCACTACAAAAGCAATGTAACCAGGATAAGGAGGGAAGTGGCCAACCAGGAAAAAATTTTGCACCTATTATCTCTGATAAGGGTTTGACATCTAAGATACATAGGGAATTAATGCAAATATATATCACCTAAAACTACTCCTCAATGGTCAAAGTGCAATTACTTGCACTATAAGAACATGAACAAAGAGTTGCAAACTGCCAACAACTATATGAAAATACAGTCTAAATCATAATAATTAACTTTGAGGCTTTACCTTTACTCCCAGAAAGCTGGCAAGTATGACAAAAGATGTGAATAGTCAATGATGGAGCGGCTATGAAAAGACAGGCCTATTAATGTACTATTAGAAAAGTTGTGGATTGGTTCAACCATTCTAGAAAACAATTCTGGAATAATGCCAAGAAAGTGACTAAGACATCCAGACCTTTTGACCCAGACAGCTCACTGCTAGGCACATACTCCACGGAGGTTGATGATAAAAAGAAATGTCCAAGATATTTATAGAAACACAATTTTCATACTAGCAAAGAACTGGAAATAAAGTAGATGTCTTGGAGGATTGATTACACAAACTGATTCATGAATGTAACTGAATATTACTTGTACTAAAATAAATGAAAGCGAAGATTGTGGAAAAGCATGGAAAGACTTTTATATGAAACAAAGTGAAGTACACAAAGAGTGTGTGTGTGTGTGTGTGTGTGTGTGTGTGTGTGTGTGTGTGTTGGGACGGGGTAATTATACAGTGTTACTTTTTTTTTTGGACTTTCCATTTACGTTGCTGAGACATTCTCACAAAGAAATTCTAAGGCCCTAAGAAACAACAGTAGCCAAGGACTGAACTCTTTTTAAGGAGTCTTATAGGTAGGGAGGGTCCTGACTTGCTACAACAACTGTCAGATTCTTCATCTGCTGAGCTGGCAGAGTATGGGCAGGTGAAGCCTCCCAGGGAGTGCAGCTGAAGCCTCAGAAAGATGTTCTAGATGGAAGTTAGGGGCAGTGGGGCCCCCAAAGGAGGGTTGATGACAACTGGGTCAGTTTGTTACTAGACTGAGCTCCATACCCACAGGGTTCCCCACAAAGCTCAGCTTTGATTATTTTCACTCCATGAGGCTGAGCTACTGTAACTTGGGGAAAGACAAAGAAAGGTGAGAGCAAAGAAGGAAATCCTAAGGTCTATTCTGTTAAGTATCAATTAACATGTTTAAAATGGGAACACACAAAAGTCCAAAGTCACAAACACCAGTGCAGGAGCTGAGTTGAGTTGTGGATCGTCCTTAGATTAAGTCTGACTAAAACCAGACTCATATGGGAGCTCAGAAGAGGCAACGTGGCAGCTGCTTCCCCCACAGGCACTCAGCGGGAGCATGGAAGGAGGAGGGAGAGGGATGGCACTATTCAGAAGGAAGGGTATTACTCAAATTTTCCAAGCCACCAGGGTCTTGGGGATGGAAGTGTATTTATATCGGTACCTAATTAAAGAGAAAGAGAAAGTAGGAGAATATGAAGGTTAGGTGGCCTGCTAGGAAGAAGGCAGTCTAAGCTGCCCGCCTTAAATAAAAATAGGAAGGATTTAAGTTGGACAATGGATGGATTCTCAACAGTTAGGGGTGTGTGAGATACTGCAACAGGTAAGAGAAGGCAATTTCCTTCTCTGGCAATCTTTAAGAATAGACTAGGTAACTCTCCTCTGTGTAATGAACTGATGAGGTACAGGTGCTCCAGACCACGGCGTAGGGGAAAGACTTTGAGTCAGGAGAGTGGGTTCAAGTCATCCCTGTTGTATGAACATGGACAAAATCATTCCCCTCTCTGGACCTCAGTTTTCTCATCTATAAAATGAGAGGTAATCTTCTAAGGTCCTTCCCAGTTTTAATGGCCTGCAAACCCCAAGAAGGACCTGTGTGTCCAGAGAATCTCTCAGCCTCTGTGTTTGGTCCAGAGATGCTCTTTTTCAGGTGAATGAGAGGTTAGTGCCCACTGCCTCCCTGTTCCATACAAACTTCATGTCTAGATCCCCCCTGTGATACATGTCTAAGTCCCCGTTCACTCACAGGGTGCGTAGAACATGACAAGAGCGTGCTTCTTTTTCTTCAGGGCTTCCCGAAAGTCTGCTCCGGTCAGGTGCAGCACGCTCGTTTGCTTTTCTTCCCAGGCAGGCTCTGGGGGTGGGGGTGCCTCAGGACTGGAAGAAACAGAATACAACTTTGATTCCAGCTATATGTGCTATCTTTCAAATGCAGATATCCACAAAGATACATAATTTTTGCATGTTTTAGAGAAACCTTTTTATATCACTGCTTAAAACCTTAATGTATGTATATTTAAAACATATATTTTGCCAGGCATGGTAGAGCACTTCTATAATCCCTGTTTCTAGGGAAGGCTGAGAACTGGTGAACCTCTTGGGTTTGGGAGTTCTGAACTAAAGTGGGGCTAAAGCCAACAGAGTATCTACTAAGTCTGGCACTAATGCGGTAAACCTTTGAGAGCAGAGAGTCAGCAGGTTGCCTGAGGAGGGTAAAAACAGGCCTGAATCAGAAAAACTGAGTAGGTTAAAGCTTCTATATTGATTAGAATTGTTATTAGATCCATGAGTAGTCACTGCATTTCCAGTTTGGGCAAGATAGGAAGAGCTAGTGAGAAAGAAGAAAGAAAGAAAAAGAGAAAGAGAAAAAGAAGGAAAGAAAAGGAAGGAAAGAAGGAAGGAAGAGGAAAGGAGGGTGGGAGGAGGGAAGGAGGAAGGGAAGGAAGAAGGAAGACAAAAGAATAAGAAAAAAGGTCTTGTTAAGCTTAGATTTTAAAAAATCTATGCCTTTTTAAAAAAATTTTATTTTTAGGCAATTGGGGTTAAGTGACTTGCCCAGGGTCACACAGCTAGTAAGTGTCAAGTGTTTGGTCTTTGGATTTGAACTCAGGTCCTCCTGACTCCAAGGCCGGTGCTCTATCCACCTTGCCACTAAGCTGCCCCCAAATCTATGCCTTTTCTTAGAAAGTTCTAGTAAAAGGAGATTTGCGCATTAGCTGCTTTTGAGATAGTTACTAAGGCATCATTTAATGTTGATGGAGCATAATTCTTAGGGCCCACTTTTCCACCCAAACTAGCTTAGCAAGAGAGAAGGTGAGCTAAACACAACTGTTTTTGTTTTTATACTCATTTTTTTCTCCCTTTGCTCAATCTCAAGAATAAAAGATGTCTTTTCTTCTCTCTAAGGTTAATCCTTCCACACTTGTGTCCCATTTCGTTCCATCTCTAAAATGCTCCCTCAGCCTAGAATGTGATACATTTGTCACAATTATTCCATCAAGCATCTTGACTCTGCTTTTACATGGGTTTCTTCTTTTGTTGTCTACAAATACATACACACACACACGTATAGGCTCCCATCTCATCTTTAAAAACAAAAACAGACTTTCACTTTTGTCCCCACTAGTCCTATTTCTTTTCTTCCTCTCTCAAACTTCTATACCAAGTGGTCTATACCTACTGTTATTCATTTTTCATTACCCTGGAAATCCAGCTCCTCTCTCTACCATTCTATTAAAACTGCCATGCAGACACATTTTCCTTGATATCCCTGCAATATTTCACACTATTCCTCATTCTCTCCTGGAAACTTGTCCTTTCTTGACTTTGGTGACATTCCACAATCTGGTCGTGTCATCTCAGCCTCCTTAAGCGGTTCTTCTTCTTTCTCTAGCCTTCCTTGAGTTCAGTCCTCCCATTCACAATTATCTCTTCATTCCGTGAGCAAATGTACTCTCACAATTTCAATTATCACCTCTGTGCATATTCCAGGTGAGAGATGAGAAGCAAAAGAAGGGAAGTCAACATATGCACTTAGCATCTCTTCTTCAGAAATCTCCTTTACTCACATATCTTTATCATTACCTGAAGAAGACATCCTTATCCTTAGCACTGAGTTCTCAGCCTGCATTTCTAATTGCTTATTGAACAGCTCCAAGAATGCATCGCTGTCACATCAAACTTGGCATATTTAAAATAAACTTATCTTTAGAGACAGTGCGGCATAGCGTATTTCAGGAATTCCGGATCTGATGTTTCCTAAATGTGCTATTGTAACTAAATCAATCAATGTCTCTGAGTCTCAGTTTCCTCATATATAAAATAGGGAAAATCATTTTTGCATTCCCTAACTTACAGAGTTGACATGAGTAAAACGTTTTATAAACTTTAAAGTGATACATGAACATGGAGGTATTATTTACACTCAAACTGGTCAGATTTCTATTAATGGCGGCAACATCCACTTACTCATGAGGCTCAGAAATTTATAGTCCTTTTGGAGCCGTCCTTCCTGTTTCCCCTATTTAAGCAGTTACCAAATCCTACTGATGCTCCTTTCACAATATTTCTTGAATGTGAGAATTGCAAAACCTTAGAATTAGAAGAGACCTAATTCTAGTCCACAACTGAGCAGGGATCCCTTTTGCAACATTCCCCCAAAACAGGCATCCAGTTTACACCAGAAGGAAAATCCACTCCCTCCCAAGGCAGCCCTTTCCATTTCTGAATAGCTCCAGTTATTAGGAGGTTTTTTCCTTATGCCAAGTCTAAAAATACTTCTCTGCAATTTCCAGCCATGGCTTCTTGCTGTGTTCTCTGGGAACAAGCAGGGTGACTCTGATCTCTCTTCTACTTGACAGGCCTTGAAGACAAAGTTCATGTCCATCAAGGATTCTTTTCTTCTCCAGGCTAAATATCATGTGTGTTCAATCACTTTGTGGGTGGCATGGTCTCCAGTTTCTTCACTATCCTGGTTCCAATCTCCTGGATGTACTACATCTTTTATGAAGCCTCCCTTTTCTACCCTCACATGACTACCACCTTAGGGCAGGTTCTTATCACCTCATGCTTAAGACTATTGCAATATATATCTGGTCTGTCTTCCTGCCTCAAGTCTCTCCTCATCAAAACTATCTTCCACTCATATGCCCAGGTGATCTTCCTAAAGTGCAGGTGGGACCACATTAACTCCCTACTCAATCAATTCCACCAGCTCTGGCTCTCTATTGCCTCTAGGATCAAACAGGAAAAACCTCTTATTTGGTAATTAAAGTTCTTAACCTGACCTCTTCCTATCTTTCCAGTCTTCTTATACTTTACTCTCCTCCACATAATCTATGATGTAGCCACCCTGACCTTCTTGCTGTCCACACATGACAGTTCATCTCCCAAGGCTGCTGACTTTTTACTGATTGCCTTCCCATGCCCAGAACTCTCTCCTTACCTCTGCCTCCTAGTTTCCCTGGCTTCCTTCAAGAATCAGACTAAACCCCAATTTCTACAGAAGGGCTTTACTGGAGGTCCCTGGGCCTGGTCTCTCTCCTCCCTCCCCACCTCTTCCCCTACTACTTCTACCTGCCTTCTGAGATTTCCTTATATTTATTCCGTATATATCTTTGTATGCACACAGTTGTTTGTACAGTATCTTCCTGCATTAGAATGGAAGCATTTCTGAAGGCAGAGACCAAGTATTTGCCTTTCTTTGTATGCCTAGCATTTAGCGGAGTGCCTGGCACATAGTAAGCCTTAATAAATATTCTTTGATTGACTGAGGTTCTTAAGCAGTAATCCAATTAAGGTTTTGGATAATCAAATCAATTTACACACACACACACGCCCACGTGTATATTTATACATACTTACATATACACAAATGCACATACTCATATGTATCACATCACTCTCAGCCATTCGAGTTCTGACCCGTACCATGCCAAGATGACTGTAACTGTCTTTTGTTTCCCTTCTCCAGTTATATGCACTGCTAAAAGATTACTCTTTCCAGAAGACAGTTTTTACAATGTTATTCCCAAGATTCAAAACCTTCAGTGGCTTTCTACTGCCTAAAGAATGCTATCTTCTTAGTCTATTTAAGAGAGTTCACAATCTCAATTTAATGAAAAAGACACTGGATTTGAATCAGAAGACATAGTTGTGAAGTCTGAACCCGGCACAACAGCCACAACCATCAGCAACTTATAACCTCTGTGAATCTCAACTGTTGAATGAAATTTCATAATGTATAGCACTTTGAATTGCATGATAATGACACAAATGTGTATGGCACTTTACCCAGTCCTTTGCATAAATTATCTCATTTTATCCTTCTACAAGTAAGGTAAGGAGAGCAGGTATTATTATCCCCAGCATATATTAAGCATCTACTATGTATCAGTTGTGTAAGTCAGACTAACACAATAATGCCACTGTAAGCATTGGAGATACAAAGAAAAGGAGATCACAGTCTAATGGAGGAAATGACATGCAAACAACTATGCATTGTTTAGTTGTTTTGCAGTCATGTCTGACTCTTCGTGACCCCATTTGGAGTTTTCTTGGCAAAGACACTGGAGAGGTTTGCCAGTTCCTTCTCCAGTTCATTTGACAGATAAGGAAACTGCAACAAAAAGCATTCATTAATCCACTTGCCCAGGGTCACACAACTAGTATCTGAAACTGGATTTGAATTCAGATCTTCCTGAATTCTGGGCCAGGGCTCTGTGCACTATGGCGCCACCTAGCTGCCCAAACAACTATGAACAAACAAGCTATATACAGGATAAATTAGAGCTGTTGTTCGTCCTGTTCTCCAAGATGACCATGACATCAGGGAGGTGATGCCATGACATGCAAGTGAACTGGTTTTAAATGAAAGAGGGCTGTGCAAAATCACCAGCCTCACTTTCTCCTCCGGAGCCATCTGGGTCCAGTAGCCAGATACAGATCAAGACAACTGGATATAAATTGGAGCTAATTTTAGAGGAAAGGCACGAGCATGAAGGGGGATCAGGCATGGCTTCTTGCAGAAGGTCAGATTTTTCAGCTAAGACTCAAAGGAAATTAGAGGAGCTATCAAACTTATAAATTAATGACAAACATCAAATATGTAAACCAGAGACTGGGAACAGTTTCTGATTGAGAGCCTCTGACTTGGAAAAAAAAACAATCATGAGTGACACAAAAGAAAAAGTCATTTAATGGACTGAATATTGTGTTTAGACAATGAAAAACAAAATGTTCAACTCATATGCCTTTAAAATGAATAAGAGAGAAATCAAACTTTATCTGATAGCAACGCCAAAAATCAAAAACAAAAAACCACTCAATAGCATTGTGTGAGGAGTGGGTTCTTACTGTGATTCTACTATGACCTACCC